GCCCCCCCCCTGCCGCACCTGCTCGCCCTGTGCTGGTCCCAGGCTCGCAGGCCCTGCCAGTTGTCAGCTCCACATCAGTCAGTCTGTCCTTCTGTTTCCAGCGGCCTATAGGGAGGCTTCCCAAGGCTCAGCAGATCTCTCCAAATCCTGCAAATGCTCGGACCTCTCCGGGTGTAGCCAGGATAAGGAGACAGATGTACGGCAAGTCCAGGAGAGCCGTCCGTAACTACCTCGGGCTTACCCGCCCCTCGCTCCTGGTGTGGCCCCCGTTTCTGTGAGCAGGCCTCGCTCTCCTACACAGGCAACTGGCAGGAGAAACAGGCAGGACCTGCAGGGGCACTCTGTGTTTGTTTAGAGAGATTTCTGCTATAGGGCACAAGTGCTCGCCGGAAAGACGGGAACGCGAAGCGAGAAATCACTCCCCAGGGGGTGGCCATTATCCTCCATTATCCTCTCGGGATTTTGGGCATGCATGATGTGCCTGATGTGTTTCAAGCCTCAGGGTCTGGGACTTGAACTGTGGTCAGCCAGCCATGTGAGAGTCTAACAATGTAACCATTACGCCATCTGCTGGTGCTGTCTTTATTTTTTTTTCTTTAGGGAGAGATTTTTGGTATAGGGCCTATGCGCTCACCAGAAAGAGAGACAGAAAGCAAGAAATCACATCCCCCGAGGGGGGGATGGTTACACTACAATCTCTTCTTCTCCATTCTCCTCTCAGGATCTTGGGCACGCACATACGAGCTCCTGGCTTGAGTTTAAGGTACAGGGCCCGGGACTCAAACTGCAGTCAACTATGAGGGAGTCTAGCGACGTAACCATTACATCATCTGCTGGCGCCACCCCCTACCTTTTTAAGAGGTTTTTGCTATAAGGTGTGTGAGACAGACAATGTGAAGGAAAGCAGGAAATTACCCCCCCAGGAAAGATGGATGGCCACACTGCAATCCCTTCTCCCCCAATCTCCTGGGATCTTGGGCACACATGCACACGCACCCAGCATGATTTTCAAGCCACCGGGTCTGAGACTTGAAGTGCAGCCAGCCATGTGGGAGTTCAGTATTGTAACCACTACGCCATCTGCTGGCCCAGCAGTGGCATGTTTTTAGATCCTAGCTGAGCGGGTGGCAAGGGTGGGGAGAAAGTCCTTACTCACACCACACCAGGCTTTTTAGGAAAGACCCGAAGTTCCAAAGGAGACCCCCAGCAAGAAGATGTAGGGCCCCCCTTCATACCAATTCTTGTTCCTTTTTCTCATGTGTGTGCTGTGTATATGTGCATGGTTTTAGGCAGGGTCTTGCTGTGTCACAATCCTTCTGTCTCAGCCTCTCAAATTACTGGGATGACAGGTGTGAGCTACTGCACCTGGCTTTTAGGGTGGGCAGGGAGTTGAACCCGGGCCTCCCACGTGGCTGCAGCCTGCTGAGCGGCAGCGTCAGTAAGAGCTACCAAGCTGGCCCCTCGCTCACATTTCTTAGAGGAGGCAATCCACTTGATGCTTGCTGGCAGCATCAGCCTGGACTTGCCATCCCGTCAGTGCCCACGAGCAGCAGAGGTGGGCCAGCTGTTCCCTGAGGATGCTAGAGGTGGAAGTGAGGGAGCGGGGGAGCCCCTGCTTTCAGGGCCTCTGTCTCCTCTTTTCCAGGTTCCCATGAACCAAACAGTAATACAGAAGCATGCTTGGAATGAGGACTTTTGGCAGAACCCCTGGGACCAGGGAGGCCTGATAGTAATCTGCGTATTCATCGCCACAGTCCTTTTCCTCATCCTGCTCGCGACCGTGTTTGGTTTGGTGGATCAATTGGAGATGGACAGGTGTGAGGAGGAGTGACCTGACTCCCAGGGGCCGAGAAGGCAGCAGGTGAGGTGCGCTGACCTGCTCTGGCCAGGCCAGCAACGGGCCCCCTTGTGGTCCCTCTGGCTCAGGGGCCAGGCCCTGGTGTCGGCTTATTCACCAGGAAGACTAGTCAAATACCAGATCTGGCTTAGGGGTGGTTAGACAGCCAAACAAGAAGGCTGATCTGAGATGGGTCCTGCCTGTGCCACCTGCCACCAGAGCCTGAAGGCATACGAAAGCCACTTCCATACCTCAGGTGGAAAGAGAGACAGCTAGCGACGTCCCCTAACAGGCTCACAGACTCGCCCGGCAGCTTCACGGATCCTCGATGAGGACACAGACAACCAGATGAAATAAAAATTCTTTGCAGATCTGCGAACTTCTGAGAGCTCATTTCCTATCTAGACGCAGGGCAAGCTTCCCTAGCAAAGCCTCGCCAGGACCCGCGAGACCCTGCGTGGTCTGCCCTGCCTCTCTCCAGCCAAACCACTCACGCCCTAGGTTCTCAGCACGTCTTCTAATTCTTGAACACGCCTGACTCTTTCCTGCCACAGGCCTTTGTACATGTGCTTCCTCTGGACGGGGACACTCCCTCACAAGATGCCTCATTCCTCCCCATCTCAGTCTAAATCCAAGTTCCTCAGATAAATCTCCCCTGGCCCTCTTGATGGGGGGTAGGGCTATGTCATACGGCCTCCAAATTCCATATACTGGGCTGACTCTGTGGTGCACCAATAATGCGCTGCTCCAGAGAAGCTGACCCCACGAGGCAAGCACAGTTCCAAGCCCAGCTTGGTTAGCCTGAAGCCCGCTGGGCACACCCAACTGTCCAGGCTCTAGTAGGCTGGAGGACTCAAGGAAGGGGATCGTGGCATGGAAAGACCCCAGGGAGGCCGCCTGTCTCTGTCCTCCTCTTACTCTCACATGCACACATACGTGCTCTATGACAAAGAAAAGTATCATGTGCTTTTTCTTCAAAGCCCTCTTAGCAGGAATTTAGCAGGACCCCCACGGGGCTCGGTTTTCAGCAGG